CTCGGTTATAATAAATCATATGGCGTCACAGCGCGCACGTATTCACTCATATCTTGCTTTTAGCATTGATTTATGTATTTATTTTATTTAAATGTTTCTAATGTCACGTTCATTATGTTGTTTGACAAACAATTAAAAGACACAACGAGTAAACAATAGAAGATTTTTAGGAAAAAAGTTCCTTTTTCATTCAAACTTTTGTCAGTACCAATAAATATCACATTTATTTGCCGGAAATAAACCAGAATTGATTTCAATTTGCTTGAAATTTAGTTTATTGGTAGCTGTTTGCATAGATTATACATACATAAATATATTAATAAATAATATCTATATATATGTACATGCATATAAAACCGCTAAAGCGATTTGGGACTTAGATTAACACATAACAGCAGTCGCAGCCAATCTTATGAGAGCGTTCTGTAGGGGGAAACATTGCCAGCAGGACTGACTGACTTCGGCGATGACAAAGTTTAAAATAGCAAAAATTTTAAACAATAATCCAAAAGCGCGATTGGAATTTTTCAGATTACATAAGGTTTCTTCTCTTTCCTCCTTGAATTCTGTAGTTTGAAATTCAACTTACACGGACCTGGGCAAAGAACTTGTGTGCGACGTCCCACCAAATAAAGACTTGCTCGCGAAGTTTACCGGAAAGACGGTTAAGTTCGATAGGTAAATGTTTTGATTTTACTATTGAGCAAATTTCTATTCGCCGCTCTTCAAAATTCTACTAGTTTATGATCTCTGAGAGCACCAGCATCAATGAATAAATGAATATTTTGTTTAAAAAATGAAAATTCTTGTCTGTTTTTGAACACACCTCGTACGCAAGAAGTTATGTGTGACAACAATTGTGAATTTTGCGTGCTAACTAAATTATTTTTATTAGTATCTCAGCGGCACGTGTTTTTTCAAAGTGAGATTAGGCATGACTATTTTTAGGTTATTATTATTAAATATCTACATACATATATATACTTATGAGCATACGTAATTATATGGTTGTTATTTAAAGCGCTTTTATAGTTATGTCGGCCGCGATAGACGAGTGGTTAGCGTTGCGTACTGACATTCGGAAAGCCCAGGTTGATATCCCAGTGCCAGCAACATTCAAAACTTATGGAAAATTAATTTAAATAAAAAATTAAGCTAAATTTTCTAACTTCGGTCGCCCCCATACAGGAAAGGTCAACCCCTCCGAGTGTATTTCTGGCGTGACATGAGGCTTCTCATAAAAAAACATCACCTGTTCGGAGGCGGCTTATTATAAATTGTAGGCTCCTCCATTTATTGGAAAAACATCAAGACGCAAGACCACAAGTTGGAGAAAGAGCTCTGCGGAAAATCGCTTCAGCGGTTACAAAAGCCCCAATTATATATATATTTATATATATATATATATCTATATATAAATTTATTATTTACGTATGTTTTTCATGAAAATTGGGCTTATGGTGAATTTAAATGAGTTAATTCATTTAATTTAGGCTTTTTTAAAATTCGTCTATTGACCGAACTTGAACATCTGACTATGAGTCAGATTGCTATTGCTTCCCTTATCTCTCATTATATGACTGTTGAAAGTGGACCGATATTAAGAGCATACCGAATTTGTGGAGGAAAGACTTTTTCAGCTCGGCTCAGCATACTGAGTGGTAGCGAAAGTATAAGGCCCAAAGGTAACGAACTCCCATGTCCAAATGATGATGATGATGGTAAAGAAGTTCGAATATCCGGCTATGACGAGGTTTGAACAATGTTTGCCCGATTAAAAAATAGGTGAAGAACTGTCATAAAATGGGGAGAAGGAGAACGCTGTGGTCTGCACTAGTTATTGTCATGGCTTTGTGCGAGTAACACGTATTTTGTTGCGCTCCCTAGTTCTTCACGAATATTTGAATACTTTTTAATTTAAAATTTCCGCGGCTGGCACACAATCATTTGTACGTGAGTTTTCATCTTCCCTGATACTTTGATTGTCTTACCATGATGTCAACAACTGGGAAAAATGCAGAACGCAAAGTGTCATCACCTCCAAAAACGTCGCAACTGTCCACATCTGATTGAACAAAACTTGATGAGCAAAGAATTTCCATCATCGAAGAGCTGACCAATGTAATGAAGAGTTCTAAGGAGAAACTAATGCAGAAAATCGGTGAGTGAGCTGGTGGAATTACGAATTTGTTGTATGGGTTTCTGAGTCTGGATTTTCTGCGTGGCATAGTGAAAAATTATTTTGTAATGACAGTTATAAATTGTTTCGTTTAGATAGACTTGGACATGGTGGAGGCGTAGCTATGTTTGTCAAATCTTGTTTGTCCTTTAGAATCCTCCTTTAGTCGACTTGAATACATCTTTGTCGAAATAAAGACTAATTTTTCAAAAAATACTTGTAGGATGTGTTTATAGGCCTCACAAGCGAATTGCTTTTGACAATTTCATAGATTTTTATTGAAAATCTTAGTCTTAGCTTCAATCATCTTGTTATTGCCGGATATTTCAATAGTGACTTGCTTACTGAAACACAAACTATTCCAAGCAATGCAAAATCTGGATATTTTTCCGGTGAATACTTCATCCCCAACACATTACGCAGAAACATGTAGCACCTTATTGGATATATTCTTTGTTAGTGATGAATCAAATATACTAATGTTTGACCAGCTGTCCGTGCCGGATTTTTCCAAACACGACCTCATTTTTTTTATACTAGATTTTAGCTAGATTTTAAAACATATACCTATTCCTATATAGATTGCATGAATATCAATTATGCAAGCCTTGCTGCAGCTGTTGATGTCACACCTTGGAAGTCTGTCTACTCGATGACCTCTGCAGACGAACAGATCAACTTTCTCCAATCAAATATATATATTCTATTTGAGCATCGGTTTGGTACAGTAAGAGGTTCTAAAAAAAAAACATGGAATGATGTTCGTGAAATAGGAATTAGAAACAAAACCGGTACCCTTTCCAAGGATATAAACGTGAACGAGTTGAATGTAAAATTTGTACAATCATCTATGTATATTGGAAGCAGTATTAAAGCCAACAACAATGTCAGCTTGAAAATCCAGTGCAGAATCACTCTTCCTACTTTTGATTGAGTAGGTAATTTAAAAGTAAAGTCCTCTCTCGACGAACAAAGACGAAGCTCTACAAGTCGCTCAGCGTTCACGTCCTGCTATATGGTGCGGAAGCATGGATCAAGACCTGTTTTCAAAAGATTAATTCTCCCGTTTTCAGCACGTAGCTATCGATTATTCCGATTAATGTGACATTTGTTGTGTTTTGTGATTTCCATTGTTGTATTTGTATTTAAATTCAATGAATTTTTCATTCTCAGCTGCTGTGCAGTTCATGAACGTAATTTTAACCCCAAAGCTGTGCTAGAAAATACAAAAGATTTATTATTTTAAACCATATACAAAATATATTTTCACCGTTATTAGTGTTTTATATGTATTTCTTTCCTTTAATCAATCGATTACTACTCTCTTTTATAAACCTTTGCAACACATCTCATGGTTATTCTGTGGGGTACACATTAAAAGTAAAATAATTTAGTAGACAATTTTAAGAAATTTTATAATTTATAAATTATAATTTTTTAATTATTTTTAATTAATTATATTTATAATTTTTATAAATTAACTTGATTTTTTTTTATTGAAACTTGAGAAGAAAGACAGTTAGTTTTTCTTGTGCTGTGTTTCAGTAGTGTGAAGAGTCTGTTTTCCCAAACGGTTAATTAATATTGATTAAAGAGTGAAAATATCTTGTCAAAAAAGCAAAATCAAAAAATCAATTGAATTGTTCAATAAAGCAAATAAACCTTTTAGACAACCAAGCGAGTGCTGAATCATTTACCCCCTGCTAATCTCGATTGACAGGTCTACCGACATTATTTCCGCAGACCACCGAACATTCGTTAACTTCACCGGATTCACAGTATTTACCGAAAACGCTGATTGAACTCCTACCTATACAGACTCGACTCCGACATACCTATCGTACGTACAGCATGTAATGAGTCCCCGCTCGAAACTAGGCACCCTTTTTATATGCTCCCTAAGACCAACACATCCAACTCCCCTTTTCTGTTGGTCCAAACCCGTCGAAACAGCTGGTTTCCTGGACTTTCGGTTTGATGATCTCGGTGACTTTGATTAAATAGACTCTTCCTAAGCGGGGTTGGTAAGCCACAAAAATAACAACGTTAGGCATTTGAGTTCAAATAGTATTGCTGTACAATAAGCGCGCGACCATAAAGGTCTATCGTTACAAGTATATGAGTCATACCTGTCTAACAGATGGCTTACCGAAAACCAAATAGGAATTTAACACTCTGGAGTTTCCAGTTAAAACCGGTACTTCTTGGGCCTATATTATACATTATATATATATATATATATACTGCAGTCATTCCAGTAATTCTCAAACTACAAATATCCACTTTCGCGGACGACACATCTATATTATTTCGTGATAAGTAACCTAGACCTTGCGGCCGCGGTAGCCGAGTGGTAAGCATTGCGTACTGCCATTTCCCCTTTCGAATCCTTAAAATAAAAAAATTAGTCAAATTTTCTAATTGCGGTCGCCACTCGGCAGGGAATGTCCACCCCTCCGAGTGTATTTCGAGCATGAAATGAAGGCTCTTCTTAAAAAAAAACCATCAGCCGTTCGGAGGTGGCTTAGTATAAGCTGTAGGTTCCTCCATTTGTTGGAAAAACATCAAGACGCGAAACCACAAATTGGAGGTGGAGCTCGGCAGAAATTTGGTTCAGCGGTTACGAAGCGACAATTATATATATTTATATATGAGGGTTCAACATTTTAAAGTTACTACTTTATTCTTATTGATATATTTGTAGAGTAATATTAAAATAATAATAATTGAAGAATATCTACAATGAATGATGCATACTTAATAAAGAAATATTTCATTCTTTCTCTAGTAAATAATATTTTTATTTTATTTTCCCTTTCAGCAATCACTGTTTTAACGTCTAAAACATCTCAAAATGGATAGCACACGTAAGCCGGAAAAAATAAATCCACGCCGACATGCAAATATACTGTCACAACTACTTTTCGTTTGGGCTATACCACTGCTCTTTAAGGGTTCAAAGCGCGGCTTGAATACAGATGATCTCACAAAGTGTATGCCAAAAGATTGTTCTGAAGATTTGGGAGATAGTTTGGAAGAGTAAGTTTAAAGATGAAATAAAATTTACATTCTTGCGGATTGTATTTTTCTGCATAGTTTTCATGAATTATGTAAAGGTGGACTTACATAAATTTATGGCATCGCTCTCAAAGTTGCCCCCCCTACGAAATAGTACCCCGAACCGGGCGTGTCTGAGGGAAATCGAAAAATCCAACAGACCGGTGACCGAAAACCAGTAATAGTCCGCACTGCCCTGAACCCTAAACCGATCGCGGAAGGTCGCGGTTAGATTTGCCTCTTAAACTATATTCTGATCAACCGCTTCTCTGGATCCTACAAGGTCTTGAATTATTCTGTAAATCGCGGCATCTTTTTGGAGAACTTTTGAGCATCGCTTGTTGGCTAGCTTCTCAAGCACTTCATACTCATGCTTCTCGTCCCTTCGTTTTTCATCTGGACGCGTTTGGCTTCTCTCTTCAATTCTCGGTATCTCTCTCAATCCGCACGTGCAGTGGTTGATCACAACGTTGCGAGGTAGGCAGCCTGTTTTCTACAGCGGCACAGCAATCCTCATCGTACCAGCTGTAAGAAAACCAACAGTTTCGTTCCGCAGTTCTCTAAGTTACAAGTTACTGATAACTGCCCTAAGAGAGTAGAAGTGCAAGTCGAGTAAAAATCCTTTCAGCTGCCTGTTGTGATTGCAGCTTTAGGACATCAAACTTTTCTTGTGTTTGTTGATGGGTGTTATTCGCTGCACAGAGAAAAATCCACATCCGGCGAGAACGTATTTCACGTCCAAAACTTATGTAATGTGATACAAATTGATTCTTGAGACACAGAAAGTCCAGCTGGTCTCTGTTTCAAACTTAAATGATAATTTTGTCCGAATTTCTTTCCCTTTAATTTCGCATAAATTTTCTATCCGGAGGTTGTTCTTTCAAAGTAACATCCAGTAGTTATTACGAAAAGTTCCTTTAATAGTCCAACTTGGTTCATATCCGCAAAGAAGTAAGATCTCCTCTTTGTGAAAAGAACCGTTTTTGTCTTAAAGATGGAATTTTTTTAACATTTTCTTTTTGATCTCTTCTTTAGAAAATGGTACGCCGAGGTGGAGCGAGCACATCGTAAAGGACGTAAGCCACTGCTCCGCAATGCAATACTTCGTACATTTTGGATACCCGCAGTACTCGATGGCATCATATCACTCATTTACATAGTAATCAAGTAAGTTGCAGTGCCGCCGTCTACTCGTGCGTTCATTTTTAATCCCACATTACAAAGAAATTATTTCATTTGAATTTGCGATTTGCAGATCTCTTATACCCGCAGTGCTGGCGCAGTTATTAATGCAGTTCCAAAAGCAAGTGGCACCCGCTTCAATTCGCATGTCCGACGTGAATACAACAGATGAGCTTGTGAATGCCACAAAACGTGCTGTGCGTTCCATTGACTCAGCCATGAAAAGCATGTCTCTGTTATCATTGGCGGCTGATGTGGGCGGTGCTGGTGCGGGTGTTGGAGGTGGTAAGTGTGCAATCGACTAGTCTTCGAATCAACAAAGAAACATTTGAGTACTAAGGGCTAAGGAATGCCAGTTGCATGTCACAATCATAGATTACTGCTGCTGCTGCTGCTGCTGCTGCTATGTTTGGTGCGCGTTCGACTTTGCTGGCAAACCCATTTATTTCCAGCGCGAGTAATTCTTGAATTAAGCAAATCATTTGCCTCAATTGAATTGTGTGTGTGTGTGTCAATTAGACGATTGCTCAATTGATTGATTGTATGAACTGATTACTATGCAGCTGCAAGCATTGTTGTCAGTTACTCAATAAATTTTTATTTCTTTTATTTTATTAATTCGCTTATAGCGTCATCTAACACTATTGATGCCACGGGAAAGCCAATTAGCGCTACAGATACATTCTTGTTCGCTAACGACACCTCTAATGCGACTGCGCAGCCGGAATTCGCCAATTTCGATGATCCGATGTGGGATGTTTTTAATAATGTCTATTGGTTGGGCACCATTCTGGTAACTTCGACTTTACTTGGTTGTTTCTTAATTCATCACGTCGATTTGAGGCAGCGTTTGATGGGCGCACGCATGCGCATTGCCTGCTGTTCGTTGATTTACCGAAAGGTGCGTATATCGGGGGACTTAGGGGAGCAATTGGAAACAGCGCTGAGCGTTCATTAATATAATTTATTTATTTACTTATTATTAAATTAATTTTGCGGCTTTTATTTCTGTTAAAATTTAAAAAGCTTAAAGGAAATTTAAATCAGAGGCATTGAGGGTCTATATGTGATAATTATTGGTTCCACGAATATAAAAGTATAATATATATATATATCGGTTTCTCTGTAACGAAGGACTATAAAATATAGAAGCCATCTGTAAGACCGGTTTTGATCTTTCCTCAGATCAATCACCGATGAGCGCCGCCTTAGGAAGAGAGCTTCAAAATGTCAGCCAAAGCTGTCAGCTTTGCAATAGTCGCACCAATTGGACACATTTTAAAACAATTTTGAGCACGACTCTTTGTATAAATTCAACCCACGTCTCGTGCGCCACAACAAGCTTAGACAAACCAAAATTAAGTAAAAACGTCGGGCAAGACAAATCTGACTAGGTCTTGTGGAGATAGACGAATATATGATGTATTTACAGTAGACTTCCAAAAGAACTGATGAAACCTCAAACTTGTTGTGTATTCCCAATTCAGTTGAAGGAAGCCGGATTCAAGATGGTTTTGAAGCAAGCGGAGCCAGAACTAGAAGTGAAATCTCATCATCCTATTAGTTTCCTCCTGAAGTTGTCAAGAACTGTTTGAAAAAAAAAAATGATGGAATTAATCGAGCTAACGATTAATTCCAAATAGCCAATTCGGCTTTAAGAAATGACACTCTGCAATAGAGCAAGTCCATAGGATTGTCGAAAAAATTCAATACGCGTTTGAGTATAAATAGTTCTGTTCAGCTGCTTTTTCAAAGGCTAAGTTTTCTCGATTAACGTTCGCATCTGTGAGAGACATCTGTTCACACATTGAATTAAACAACATTTCGGACCCCCAATGCTGCTTTGTACATGGATATTCATCTGAACAGACGTCTTCGACTCTTTCCTTGAACAACAATCTCCTCTTGTGCGTGTTTCAGTCAGTGTGGATGTACGGTATGCAACTGTCTTGAACTGCTATTTACAAGTTATTGAAAGATTTCAGTCCAATCTATATAATATATACAATATATTGAGGCTAACAGCACCCTCGTCTAAGAAGTTGGATGGATGGAATAAAAAGAAGTTAGGCCCTCGGGAATTCTTATACATATATGAACTTAAATTTGAGTATGAATTTGTGGCGGGAATGATTTCGTCGCCGAGTCTCGGTATTTAATCCACCGGATAAACGTCTTGTCAAAATCCGCATCACCGCTTTCTTTCGCCCGTGTCCTGGAGGGGGAGAAGTACCATATGACTAAAGATTCTCTCAATAAGAGCATACCTATGAGTGATAGACGATAGACATGTCTCCTATATTACAGTTGTACCAACGTTCAGTGGACATAAAATCGATATGTACCAGTATGCTGCCGCAGCAAATATTCGCACTCACTTCTGGGTAGCCAAGAACACCCATAAGCAAACACAAGTAAGGTTAGACGTCGAAAGGATGCAAATCCAGCAGTCAACTAGCCAGATTTCTATTCGACTAGCGCTTCTGCTCTCTGAGGGAGCACTCATCAGCAACTGTATATATATACCCAGAAGCAAGACGTATTTGTTAACAGGCAGAGAAAGAGGTCGACTTGAGTGAAAATGTTGAGCTTGAGAAGTTAGCCGACACTGGTGCTTCTCGAAAAAAAGTTGAGTGACTTACAGATAGTTTATAGGTAATAGATCTTTAAAAGTTTCTAAAAGGAGCATTTCCTCAGCCTGCTGAATGTCAGTGTAAATGAAATACTCGAAGACAGTAATCTCAACCCTAATTGATGATGATAGAGCAAACGTTGCACAACCCGACTATAATGAAGTTCGAATAGCGATTGCCGTCTTAAGGAATAACAAAGCGGCGGAGTCGATGGCTTACCGACGGAGGTATTTAAGTATGGCGACGAAGAACTGATAAGGTGCAGAGATCTTCATCTTTGCAGAACATGGTCGGACGGAAGCATGCTCGACATTTGGAGCGTTCTCTATCCAGTCTACACCAATTACGGTGGGCAGAGACTCCTTAATATCGCCCGTAAAGTGTTGTCTAGCATGTTGTGTGAAATATTAAAGCCCCGGTTACTACGGGATTGAATAAAATAAAAAGTAGCAAATTTTTGCACATTATTTCGATACTGCTTTTTATTGGGGGTCAAATTCCGAAGAAAGAATGTAAAAAAAAAAAAAAATAATTATGAAAAAACTTCTCTTTAATATATTCATTTTGTACTACTTTTTGCAGACCCTGCGCCTCTCAATGCGCTCTGCTGGCCAAACCCCAGCTGGTTATCTAATCAACCTGCTCTCTAATGATGTTAATCGTCTCGATTATGGTTTTATCTACATGCATTGGATCTGGATAATGCCGCTGAATGCCATGTTGATATGCTATCTCATTTGGTTACGCATCGGATGGGCTGCAGTGGTAGGCGTCGTCGGTCTATTACTCAAAACGCTACCGGTACAAACTGGTTTCAGTAAATTGGCATCAAAGTTGCGTATGAAAATCGCCGAACGTACCGATGCACGCGTTGGCATCATGAACGAATTGGTACAGGGAATACAGGTGATTAAAATGTATGCTTGGGAAAAACCCTTTCAGGCTGTGGTGGGCGAGGCGCGCCGTCGTGAAGTCAAACAAATTCGTTATGCTTCCTATTTGCGTGGCTTTTACTTGAGCACAATGGTTTTCACGGAACGCTCCACTCTCTACATTACCATCGCGGCAGCTGTGCTTATGGGAAATCAAATTTCAGCTGATATTGTTTTCTCCGCCGCTAGTTACTATAATATATTGCAGCTAGTCGCCGCCATTTGGTATCCACTTGCTGTTTCGTTTGGTGCCGAGGCGCTTGTCTCACTAAAACGTGTCGAATCGTTCCTACTGCAAGAGGGTCATAATGAGAAAGCGCGTGGTCTAACGCATAAGAAGGCAAATAACAACGGTGATACCAATGCCATTGTGCTCAAGCAAGTGAATGCAAATTGGGATTTAACGAAGCCGCAACACACATTACAGGATATTAGTTTGAAAATAAAGCGCGGACAGTTGTGTGCTGTTATCGGACCAGTGGGCGCGGGAAAGGTAAATTGTTCAGCTTTGGCGAGTATTCAGTGCCAGATGTAGTATATATGTATGTGTGTATGTGTGTGCTTTACAGAGCTCCCTGCTGCAATTGCTGCTGGCCGAACTGCCAATCACCGATGGCGAAGTTGTGATGCATGGTGAACTTTCTTATGCCGCTCAAGAGCCGTGGCTATTCACTGGCACCGTACGCAATAATATCTTATTTGGCGAACCTTACGACCGCAAGCGTTATCACGAGGTTACGAAATGCTGTGCACTCTCGACAGATTTTCAACAGCTGAGCAATGGCGACAAAACGATTGTAGGCGAGCGTGGCGCTTCGTTGTCGGGAGGTCAACGTGCGCGCATCAGGTAAGTTACCAAAGCGTTGAAACCGCTATTTGTTTTTCGATAGCTTGGTTCTCTAAATAAAACCAAGAATACACTGATAAACCGCTTTGAGAGTTAACTTGATATTTCATCTCGAAAAACTAGCTCACCTAAACATCTAATACCACTCTTTCAGCTTGGCGCGTGCTGTCTACAAACCAGCCTCCATTTATCTACTTGACGATCCTCTAAGCGCCGTCGATGCACACGTCGGTCGCCATCTCTTCGACGAAGTGATTGGTCCACACGGTCGCTTGGCTACCGAGAAAGCCACACGCGTACTCATCACACATCAGGTACACTTCCTTACCGAAGCCGATTGGATTGTGATTGTTGAAAATGGTCGCATATCACGTCAAGGCACCTACGAAGAATTGTCCAATAGTGATTTGGATTTCGCAAAATTACTGGAACGCATAAAGGAAGAGGAAGATAACGTGGAGAGTGAAAACGAATCTGTTGTATCACATGAAACAATATATGAGGATGAAGAGATACCATACATAGATGGCGTACGCGACGGTTATCAACCGCTGCGTCGTGCTAGTGCCAATCACGATGGCTCACTAACACGTAAATCGGCAAGCCTGGCGCTTAGTTCAGAACAAGATCTCTCCGATGATTCGGGTTTGGCGGAAGATCAGGCAAAGGGTGGCGTTTCCGGTCGCGTGTGGTGGGAATATTTTCGCGCTGGTAGCGGTGTATGCGGTTTAATATTTATGACTGCCGTCATGTTGTTGTCGCAGGTGGTTTGTAGTGGCTCTGATTATTTTGTAAACATTTGGACGCAACAAGAGTATTTGCGCTCAATAGATGAACCGACGAATTTCACCACCTTCGAGTGTTTATACATTTATGGTGCGCTCATTATTGGCGTAGTTGTGGTAAGAGAATAATTTATTGAAGTTCAAAAGTGCCATTGCATTGTTTTCTAATGAACTCTTCTCCAAATAAATAGATGACAGTATTTCGTGGCTATCTTTTTTTCAAAGTCTGCATGCATGCATCCAAAGTACTGCACGATCGCATGTTCGGTAGCATACTTCGTTCCACGATGCGGTTTTTCGATACAAATCCCTCTGGCCGAATTTTGAATCGTTTCTCCAAAGATATGGGTGCCATTGATGAGTATCTACCAAAGGCAATTATGGATTTCATACAAATTGCATTGGTTATGTTTGGCATATTAATTGTGATTACCGTTATTAATCCCATACTGCTGGTGGCTGTTTTCATAGTGGCTGTGGTGGATTACTGGGTATTACAGTTGTACTTACGGCCATCGCAGGATCTGAAACGTTTGGAGGGCATCTGTAAGTGCTTGCGACTAAATTATTGATTCTTTAACATTTCCCTTGTTTTATCCCCTAGGCCGCAGTCCGGTCTTCTCACATCTCTCCGCAACACTATCCGGCATTGCGACGATACGTGCACGCGAGCTCCAGGATATTGTGATAAAAGAGTTTGATTGCCTGCAGGACGTACACAGCGCAGTGTGGCAGTTGACAATGGCTTCGAATACGGCGTTGGGCTTGTGGTTGGACTGTGTTAGTTGTTGTTTTCTCGCTTCTGTCACGTTCAGCTTTTCGCTGTTGGATACTCGTAAGTATTCAAGATTATAACTAGGCCTTATAATAAATGTAGACAGAGCGAATCTCGGAGCTAGCGGGATTTGGGAGCACTCAAATCAATCGGTGATCGGATGGCAACTACTAGTACAAGCTGTTTGATCTGCCACAAGAGGAATACTTTTAATTTCACTTTTTTTTCTTAATACCAACCGTAGTCGTGGTTCTTTTAATTGATCTTTCGCCTTGGCGTAGGCTTTGTTATGATTATAATTTACAATAGCACGTGTTTCTTATTTTAGCCATCCGGCGCCAATTGGAGATACCAAATAAACTCTTATCCACCAGATTAGATGCCCTCTGCTTTCACCAGCAGATACTCCTTCGATTTATTTTAAGACCTGGAGACCTGCATCTGCACTTTCTCTTATTATTTCTACACAATGAGGATGAGGTAGTCACATGCATGGGCGTGACCTTGTCCGAAGCATCGATTCACCACACGACACGGCGAGGTCCTTCCGATTCTGATAGAGCTTTTGATATTGCTCAGCGTCAGTTTATACAGTCGTATGAGTTATGAAGAGATACCAAACTCTTATTGGCGCTCAATCTCTTCCACAGTATGCTCGATAAAAGCTTAAATGCGATATTGAGGAGGCTTAACGAGATTCTCTTTTCACGCATCGATTCAGAGCACATTCAGATTTCGCATGCTTTCACCGATTATATTCCACAAATAAACTGTTGCATGCCACCATATCTGAATAGTTCAGCAGGTAAGCCATCGACACCCACCACCTTGTTATTCCTTGCTTCATTTTCACAGCCATTTAGCTGGCTGAAGAAGTATTCCGTAAACTGAATGTACTTTGAATGTCAGTGACCTCAGATCCCTCTTTCTCGTTTCACATTTGAAACCTTCTGGGCGGCTAACTAAATATAGATTTCTATACCGGAACATTCGCCTTGCGATCGATTGTGAGTCACTTTTCACTTTACAACATTACGATAATCCTCAGTCGGTACGACTCTTCTTATAGAGTTGTTGAAAACTAATGGTTTCGTTTGCAGCTGTACGTAGAGGGCTTGAAATGCCATGTCACAGTTCCCTTATAACGAGTTGCTAACGAATGCTTTCAGAGGGTAGGTGCTCCGGCTGGCTGCCTGCTGTGATTTACGGGTTTTTGGTTCAAATCTGTTCTGTACCTTCCATCAGCCGTACATTTGCTTTGAATCCTATTATCAATCCATATTCCTCCCGAGCAGCTCGGAGAGGATGATATCAATTGTGATGGAAAGGTACATCGAAATGTTAAGAAATTGTACATCGTGCTGTTAACCTATAAATATCAACCTACGCTGTTGAACATCTTATTTGTGACTAGTTCAATTAAGTACATTTCATTTCTACCTTTTTAGAAACTTTCAGCGGCAATGTGGGCCTGGCCATCTCGCAGGCCATGATTCTCACCGGCATGGTACAGTATGGCGTACGTCAAGTGGCCGAATCCTTACAACAGATGACGAGTGTGGAGCGAGTGCTGCAATATACTGATCTCGAACAAGAATCTGAAATAACGAAACAACCACCACCTGCTTGGCCCACACAAGGACAAGTGGAATTTAAAGATTTATCCTTGCGTTATGATCCAAATAATCCACCCGTGTTGAAACACTTAAACATCACCATCGAGCCCAGTTGGAAGGTGGGTGTTGTTGGACGCACAGGCGCTGGTAAAAGTTCACTTATTGGCGCGCTATTTCGACTATCACATCTCGAAGGTGACATTCTTGTCGATGGCATTGAGACGGGCAGTATTTCACTGGAAGCATTACGTTCGAAAATCTCAATTATACCGCAAGATCCGGTGTTGTTCTCCGCCACCATACGCTACAATTTGGATCCGTTCGATAAGTATGGTGATGCTGACCTCTGGCGTGCGCTAGAAGATGTGAGTGCATGCGTGTGCATGTGTGTTATGATGTGGTATTTAGTATATTAATTTATGAAAAATATCTCTGCAGGTTGAACTGAAAGGCGCCATACCTGGCTTGGATTACATGGTCACACAACGCGGCAGTAATTTCAGTGTTGGTCAACGACAGCTGCTCTGCTTGGCGCGCGCTATATTGCGTAATAATAAAGTGCTGGTGCTCGATGAGGCCACTGCCAATGTGGATCCACAGTAAATATTAAAAAATATTAAAATAATTTTTTATAACAACCAAACCTCTGAATTTTTCACTTGTAGAACCGATGCGCTCATACAGACCACCATACGCACCAAATTCAAGCACTGCACCGTGCTAACTGTGGCCCATCGCCTGCACACCGTCATGGACTCGGATCGTATACTCGTTGTGGATGATGGACGTGCACGCGAATTCGACATACCGCATTTGCTGCTGAAGAAACAACAGGGCGCTTTGCGGCAAATGGTGGACGCGACTGGTGCGGAGGCGGAATCGCTTAAGAAAATCGCTACTGAGACTTACAATAAGATGCAACGTGCGTGAAAGTAACGAAGTAGATGTGTGGCGCTAACTGGGAATGAATTGAATGGAAAAATACCGTAAAAGTCGTTTAGCGATTGGGAAGGTTGAAACAATGAACAATACAAATAAAACTGCCTTTATTAAATAGAGAATTTCATAGGGAATTTTAAGTGTAAAGCGAAAAAAAACAACAAATGTAAATTTGAACTCTTCAGGAAGTACACAAATATTTGTATGTACAAAAGTATAGAATTTTTGAAAAACTAAAACTAAAAAAAAAAAAAATAATTTGAAATTAGCTCACAGTTCATTTGTGGTTTGGCTTTCATGTTTACGTTCACTTTTGAAAGAACTTTAAGCAAACTCATTTCTGATACGCTTTGAAAGGCCACAATTTTTGAACTCTTTAATAGTTAATTTTACTAAAGCAATTTTTTTTGAAAAAAATTACAAAAGTTGGAACAAAGTTTACCTCAGAAAGTCTTAAAATTTCAAATGAATTTTACAATCATTTATAGCAAAAAAGAAAATTTTTGTATTTACTTACATATGTACATGTATGCATAGCACTTAGAATGTTATAAAATTACTAAAATATGAATTTACTTAAATATATTACGTTTTTTAGACATGTAAACATTAACGGTGCATAATACTTATATAAATAATATACACTACTAGGCAGCAGCGTGCGCTTAAATGTTTTAAAACATATAAATATTTTATATAATTGCGAGTAAATAAATATTTTTCGTAAAGAAAAACACGCATTCTGCTGTTATAAAGTTCATTTTCGAGTAAATATTTGCTTGAAGTCGGCAATTAGTTTTACATTTTATTATATTTATAATAAACCTTACCTATGTATATGTATATTAAGCGAAAATAAAAAATGAAAAATAAAATACAAATAATAATACCTAAGTGTATATTTAAAAAAAAAATAATTATATGCGCTCAAACGGGCTTCTAGGAAACTTATAAAATAAAGCCGCTTCTTTTTTGCTTGGAATTTAAATATAATAAATTTTCAAAATTTGGTCTCTGCACAATTTTAAGCAAATTCAAAAATAGATTTTTCAAATGGAGAAGATATTAAGTTGTTTGCAAAACAATTTGTTTTTTAATAAAAATCTTTTCAAATTTTTTTTCACCTTTCCACAAAATAAGCTTACATAGATACATACATACAGTGCTTACCACTAAGATATTTTGATATTTGACAAGTAAAACCTACATCAAACGTCAAGGTTTATAGAATACCAGGTTACAACAAAAGCGAAATCTTGTGCTTAATAACGAATTTACTTCAATTTAGTGGGTTGCCGAAGATTTAAAAACATGTTCAGCAGGTCGAAAACGATGTGGGACTTGTAGAGTTTGGTTTTCGTTCGCCGATAGAGGACTTTACTTGCCTATTGCCTATTCAATTCAAAGTGGCACCTGTTGGAAAGAGTGATTCTGTGTTGGACTTCCAGTCTGAAATTGTTGTTGGTGTTAATGCTGGTTCCAAGATAGACGAAATAATCTACGACTTCAAAGTTATGACTATCAACAGTGATGTGGAAGCCAAGTCGCGAATGCGATGACTGTTTTTTTTGATGACAGGAGATATTTCGGCTTTTTCCTCCTTCAATACCAGACCCATTCACTTCGCTTCTTTATCAAGTCTGGAGAAAGCAGAACTCTCGGCGCGGTTGTTGAGGTCAATAATGTCAATATCTTCGGTGTACGCCAGCAGCTGTACGCTCTTATAAAAGATTGCACCTTCTCTATTCAGCTCTGTAGCTTCTTTTATTCTCTCCAGCATAAAATTGAAGAAATAACACGATAAGGAGTCGCCTTGCTTGTAACCTTGTTTGGTATCGAACGGTTCGGAGATGTCCTTCCCAATTCTGACTGCTCTTCTGATGTTGTCTAGCGTCAGCTTACACAGCCATATAAGTTCTGCGGGGATACTAAATTTAAGTTTAGCGTCTTAAAGGCAGCTCATTTTCGTGCTGTTGAAGGCGGCTTTAAAATCAAAGAAGAGGTGGTGAGTTTTGATCCTCTTTTCACGGGTCTTTTCCAAGATTTGGCGCATGGTAAATATCTGGACGGTGGGCTGCTGTACTTCAAAAATTTCATCGGAAAATCATTTTAGCTGTTGAGGTCCACTTCGATGGGGCTCGGAAAACCCAATATTTATTTTTGGAAAACCTCTCCATCCTCACCGTGTAACTGTTTGGTGCGGTTTATGGGTCATTGGGTCTTCCTTTTTAGAAAATGAATAGATTGCGAGAAATGATTAGTTATTTTTTTATGGCCTAAACTGGATGGTTTTGAGCTGGAAAACATTTATTTTGATGTTATAAGTTTTTTAGTGAGCTAAAGGCCTGGCTTGTTTGTATGAATTGGATTTTTTTGTTATACAACAAAGAAAAATGGTAAAAGGGCCAGCTGTTTCGGAGATCACCACATCTGTCAGTTTGATGAGAACTTATTATGGCAGGATTCTGACTCAACTAGATGACGCTACGTGCCACACAAGCAACTAAGTCAACGGTATTTTAAGGGAAAAGATTCTTTCAATATCAAAATAGCATCTCTTATTGGGAAATCTTGATTTTATATCGTTTCTATAAAGGAAAGTCTAAAGTGAGCAGCCTTCGGTATACCATTCTGCAGTAGCCGCCTGACCCTGTTTCAGGAATAGTAGCTCCGATTTTAGATCGGATGCAGTAAACTGCTGATTTTTGTTGCTTAGAAGGAACTGTACTACTTTGTGTTTCCAATTGGCTCCGAAAGGCTAAAAGAAAAATGCCCGACAGTGCAGAAGTGTGAAAAATTAGAAATAGGCTTTTTTCAAGATCAGGATGAACGAGGTTTCGCGGTATAGAAATTAATTAATAACGGGGAGAGTGCAACGGCCGGTGGTTACGTTGTTGTTGTAGTAGCCGCAAAAATATTCTCCAAAGTAGTATTTACGGAATGTTCCGGCTCGTACAGGTATAAAGACCCGACTGTCGCGGAAGCTATTGAATTTTACTCGCCTCCTACGACAGGCATGCCTTACGACGGGAACATTTTTGAACCCCTAACCCGCAGACGATAGTAGTGGTTATCAGTGCGCTTAGTGCTGCGGATACCATGCTACCGTGATGCCACGCTCAGTTGGTAAGTGAGTGAGCGTTGCCTACAGTGTCTCGAAAACTTATTTAGATAATTTTTGTCTGTGCCTGATCAAGATACTATTTCCAATGCTATTCAGCAGCAGCTAGGCTTTATCGAATCGTGTGTATTTTCTTTATTCGTGATTTTCATTTCATTTACATTTTACAAATTCTTACAGCATGCGAATTGCTTGTCGTCTTACTTAATTAAACAACAATTAATATATTTGCTTTTATAAATATTGCTTTCTAAAATACACTAAATCAAGTTAAGTCAAATAAAAATCATGCAGCTATGTGGACGTCCATTGCAATGTCTGGTATGTTATGTATATATATGTATATATTAAAAAAAAATATTTTTTAGTTAATCATTTAAAATCTTTAACAAATAGGCATTCATTTTTAATAACAAAGTGACTTATCGCTATACTTAAACATATATTTATGTATGTATGTATATAACTCGATATGAATAATTATTTTGGAATGAACATTGCTCCACAATTAGTTAATGGATTTCTGGGCAGCTAAAAAAAAATGGGACTAAAATTAGTTACGAAATAACGAAATAAAATGAAGCATGCAAGAAATTAGGCAACATCTATATGCTTCTTTCAACAACAACATACTACTTGCACTACTTTTTCGCCTCATTTTGCGGCCCATCCGCCGTTGACTGCTCCCTTTTAACCTCACCCGGCGGCGCATTGCGTGGATAGTTACGCGTTATGGAGCGTTCAAAAAAGCGCACGGAGGAAATACAACTTTCGCCCGAAAAGAGTTGCGACGGCGTATTACCACTGCTGCTGCCGCTGCGATCGCCACTACTTTGATGATTCGATGACGCGGAGTGCGTTACGGGCGTTGAAGTCTTTTGCCTGTCCAACTGATTGCTACCGCCATTATTCGTACGCGGCGTCATTGTATCAATAATGGATTGCAGAAAGGCGCTTCGGAGCGAATCGTCTGTGGGTGTTGATGAACTTGATGAGCTGGCGTGTTTGAGCAGTTCTTTGGTGAGGAATTCGCGCAAATTCAATGGACGTCCAAAGTCGCTTAAGAACTCGCAATCGCTAGAGCGTTGCGGACTGTGGCGTGACTGGAAATTTATTTTTAAATTATTTAAAATTTAGTTTAAATTAATTTAAAAAAAAAATTAGAATATTTCCAAGCTTACGCTTTTGTTATCTCGCGAAGCGTGTTTAGCATTTGAGGAGCTGTCATGTGTAGGACTGCTGTTTCGTTGCTTTTGCCTTGCCGCTTGCTGCGCTGTTGACGAGCCGGCAGTTCCATCGCCTTCAGGACTATTTCGCAACTGTTGACGATCTTCCGAACGAGTTGGACTTTGCGTTGGTGAGCGCACACTTACGCTGCGTTCGAATTGCACCTCCTTTGCAGTCGCCTTAATTTTTTCAGCATCAACACGCTTAGCACTCTCTTCACGCAATGCGCTATCGGGCGATCTTCGCGGACTCATTTGTACGCCTGCGTTGAGGTTTCGCTGCGGACTGCTGCGTTGTGCATGTGCAGCGGCTGTTGGTAGCACACGCTCTGGACTTGATGAGGTATTGCTACTGCCCACTACTGCCGCTTCCTTTCCACGTGCACGCATTGTTGCTGGCCATTTCATGCCCAAACTGAATAACTGCCGTTCGAACTCGCTTGAAGCATTCTCAGATGTAGTGGAGAGTTTCTCAATACCACTCTCCGCGACGAAAGCGCGCGCATGCTCAGCACCGTCTCTCGTTGTGGAGGAGAAAATCTGCTCTTTCGCTTTGGCGGTGCGAAAGGAATGCTGTAGGATTTGACGTCGCCGTAGTTCCTCCTCAATATTTATCGATTCCGATTCGGTTTCCGTGTTACTATTTGTTGTGCCTGTGCCTGTGCCTGTAACGTTCTCGATGCTGGCGCTATCCAGTAGCTCAGCACTTTGTGAATTTGCTAACTGACGGAAGTAATCTTGTCGCGCGGGAAAAGCTTTTACAGAGAGATTCGCTACGCGTAGGCATGATATTAAGTCCTCGATGTTCTCCGGCGATTGACAGTGCTGACTACCCTCCCGGTGTATGCTCAAGTTTTGTAGGTAAGCAGAGAGGGATGGGAACTCACGATAGTCCGGGATTTGCGCATTACGCAGATTTGTGATTAAAGTCTCAAACTCTTGATGTATACGATTGCTCGTGTCCGCATCCAATTGCGTAACATCCAAATTCATTTCACGCGCGTATTCTTCGAAAGTTGGAAAGGGTTGCGGTTGCAAATGTCTACTGCGAGAAACCTCCGCGGCTGCGGCAGCTCCTCCCGTTGTGGCATTCACGCGAGAGGTTGCAGGCGTATCGACTTCGATTATGGTCGAGAGCTCGTGCGCCACATCATCCTCAGCAAAGTTAGGACTGTAGCGTTGTAATGTGGGCGGTGGTCGATGTTTGCGTACTCCGCTATGATGATTGCTTGTATATGTTGTGGTTGATGCTTGCGAAGGTGGCTCCATGTCTTGTGCTGTCATTGGTCGCGAAATCGAAATGCCACTATCACGACTAATACCAGTTGGTTTATGCTTCTCTAATGGTGCAGCGCTATCTAATGCTGAAATTCCTTCAGCCGATGTAGCGGCGGCTTGCTGCTCGAGAGTATCCTGTGGTGTGTGGTCAATAGATGTGGTTGGCTGGGTTGTGGCTGCATTCAGACGGCTCATGGTACTACTACCGCCGCTGCTTAGACTGGTATTCTTATCGACAGACACACTTGAGCGGCGACGCGTACCGTCGGGTAGCTCGATGTATTCAGTTGAGTTGCGGCCCTCACTGACCGAACTGAGTGTGACCTCCATGAGGCGCTTCTTTTCGGTGCGCACCTTTTGTATGAGCTCAGTCAATTCAGCGATACGTTGCGTGCAGTTTTCAGTGAGTTGTTCATAACGTGCGATTTGCTCCTCGGCGCGTCGTTCTTCTGACACTACTGCGGTATCGCGCTTATTTTGCGATTCGCGCGACTTTTGTTGATTCGTTGCGTTTGCGGTAATGGTATCGCGTGTAGTCGGTAGGTGCATTGGATTTGTGTCACTTTGCGTACTGTGACGTTGCTGCTGCTGCTTTGATTGCACCTTTTGGGTGGTGAGCTGTGAAGTTGGCGCTACTGCTCTAACTGATTTTCCTGCTACTTTCGTCGGTTGTGAAACAGTCGTGTCGGGAGGATTCTGTGTAGCGCGTTTCATTATGCCGCCAGATGGTGGCGCACGTGGTTGTTCCTTTCTTTGTGCTTTTGTTTGCATCATCATTTGTTGAGCCATTTGCATTCTCGACTTGTCACCAACTGGACGCTTCTCCTTTTGCAGCCGCTGCTGCCAAATCTCCTCAAACATGCGTATGCTAGTTTCCAGCGTAACATCACTCTGCGTGCGCAGTGTATCTTCCAGCTCGCTAATGAAACTACGATTTTCATCGATAAAACGTTGAACACGTTGTATGCGCTCCTGTGAGTCGGATACGTCTACAGTGGGCAGTGTACGATTTGAACTGACATTCATGACCGACGATGTTGGTGTTTCGATATCTGATGAGCTGACGCCAAGTCCGCGTATAGAATTGCGAGACATGCCCAACAGGCGTTGTACATAATGAGCTATGAGTGGATTTAAACGTGCTTGCTGTCGGTCAGGTTTTGTTGGTTGGGTGGATGCATTGGTCGGAGAGGCGTCACTTGATTGCTGTATACTGTTACTGTCAGTAATATTTCCTTCCACCTGGTCATCTTGTTCTAAGCGCTTTACTAAAGTATCAACCTCATTTCCAATGCGAGGTGGTAAACTGCGATATGAAGTTGAGTTTGAATCGTAGGAGTTTTGCCGATTTATTGGTTTTTGTGTAGTTTCTTGCTGTTTTTGTTGTGGCTTGTCTCGAGCATTGTGAACGGCGCGTTTTACGCCTAATCTATGCGCTGGCGTATCAATTAAACTAGACACCTTTCGTGGACTTTTCGCCGACCTTTTTATTTTCTGCTTGGCGCGTCGAGTTCCATCATTTCTGAGTTTAATTATGATTTCCAAAGGCTTGTTGCTTGACGTTTGCACTTTACACTCCTTTTCGCCAGATTCTGTAGGGGCGATAAAGCATTTAAATTATTTATCTCATTTTAAATTAGTTAGGCTTACTCACTTTTTATAGTAGCTCCTTCCGCCTTGTCTATCTTGGCTGGGCCCCGTTGCAACTTTTGCATTTTGCATAATTCTCTCAATTTTTGTTCCAATAGAGCTTCCTTCTGTTCAACTTCATGTAAATGCTTCCCTAACGGTGAAGTTCTGCCATTTTCACCGAGTAAATCTTTGGTGGCTATACGCTCCCGTTCACGACGCACATCACTTACACCGTTTATGACATGTTGCATGCTTTCACCATTTTCATTCTTACTCAACTCTTCGCATAGAGCTTTGCGCAAATCGTCAATGCGCAGTAACAAACTTTTTAAGCGTTCGGCTTTTTGTTTGTTACCATTGGTAGCATAGCCTTGCATATCTTTGCGTATTTTTTGCTTTTGATCATCCACGTAGCCGAGTATTATTGAGCCGCAGCTATCCGCTAGGTCGCTGGAATGGGGTGATCCAATATTTAATGCTTCGTCGGTTGTACTGGTGGGCCGTTTGGGTCCAACAGTGGTTTTTTGTTCTTCGTCTATTTCAGGACACGTGATTATCGCAGGACGTAACAGTAACTCTTTTACTGCTTCGTTTCGCTTTTGCTCTTTAAGCTCAGTTTGTCTGACATAAGATTGATAATTTTGTATTCTGGGCTAAAAGTTGCATCAGTGTGAAAATTTAGTATATTAAAATTATATTGAAGCGTAATATCTGTAAACTCACATCTGTTGGGTTTATTAGTTGAGGATATTGTTGAGTCAGCGCATCCAGCTTTTCCGTGAGTTCCACACAATCGCGCCTGGCTTGTTCGCGTTCTAGTGCTTTACGGCAACGTTCATCTGTTTGTGCGCTTTAGCGAAAAGTATTGAATGTGTAATGAAACGAAGCCTCTGACAAATAAATACTTTTTTTACTTACCGTATTCTCTCCCTCTCATGTTGCTTCTTCAATTCAAATTCACGTTCCATATCCGCATTCTCCGCCGCACATGGGCCATTGCGTTCACGCGCTGTGGGCGCATGTATTAAACCTTCCGTGGGATGTATATACTCTCTGCTAGTTTTGTTATTGTAATCATATGATTGCACACGTCGTTGACCACTATCCCGATCATCCTTTGTTTTATCACTATTACAGCTGTCCAATATAACGGCATTACCAACGAGAGTCGTTTGCATATGTCCAGAAGAAGTGCTTTTATAAGGCGACTTTAATGTTGATGTGCGAGATGCTGCTGTGAGTGATGGTGGTGGCGCTTTCGGTGGCGAAGGAGAAGAGGAACGTCTAACGTTGCTAGCACCTTTGTTATTTATTAGCTGTGAAACTTGTGTAAAACGTGGCTTGGCGGCTTTTACCGTGGTGCTTTCTTTAAGCGATGAACGAACGGGCTTTTCTGGACTACTAGCACGTACTATATGACTGAATTGTCGATTACTTTGTGTGAATTTATCTTTTATTTCGCCAGCTCTTATGCTGATGGAATCATTACTAGCCACATCAATATCCACGATTATTGGTGGGTTTTTACTAAGTCTGACGTTTTTATTCTCAGCAGATACACTTTTTTCGGTTTCTTCTTCATCAGTGCTTGTTGACGATAGTAAGGACGAGCAAGATGAGCTGCTAGTGCAAGGGCAATTAATTACTTTTGGGCATGGACAAATTTTTACTGATTTTGTGGCTTCGCTTTTACTAGTGTCACTTTGTTTTTCTTCATTCTCCTTACTTTCTCCTTCACTATTAAAGCTTTCTTCAAACGAATCACTTTCAGCACTAGAGCATTGACACATTGAATTGTGGTTTTTGGAGCAATTTTTTCGTTTGAATTTTTTTGATTTCTTTTTTTTGTCTTTCATGAGGATATTTGGGGTTTGTGTGCCAGCAGTTTGGAGAACTTTCTTAGTTTTTTGTGGTGTTTTATATCCCAAACGCTCATTTGTCTTTCTTTTGAATTTTTGAGATTGCTTCTCCCGTGCTGCCAGCCGTTCGGCCATTGCTTCGTTTTCAATCTTAGCAGCATTGTGTGCAGCGCCTATTTGAAAAATCGCCTGACGATATTCACCATCTTTTTGATCTAATATATGCTGTCGCCAACATTCAAGTTCTTTTGCTTTGATCGCTTCTAAATTTCTCAGCTGCCTTTCCTTTTCTTCAGCTACATCGTCGCGGATTCTACGCGCCAATTTTTTTGATTCCTCACGTACCTACATGTTACACCAAACGTGTTAATAATTGACCTTCATGCATGAGTACTGAAAATAATTACCTCGAGCAGCCGTTGCTTTCTTAGGTCCGATTCCAGCTGCTTTTTAACACGCACAGGATCGTCTAATATGCTGGGATTATTGCAAGCTCTAAATTTCCCATTCACGGTGATATTTACCGACATTCTCTTGATGCTCACTTAATACGCGCACAATTTCCTGCTACATTTGATTATTTTTAAAAACTTAATTGCTAGTTTTTCATTTTATTTTAAATCAAATAAAATTAATAACGACAACAAAGCAGTAGCGCAGACGCAAAAAATTACCACAGTTAAAGAGTGACCAACAGTAAGTTGTTAAGTAGTTGGCAAACAATGTCCCTTCAGCTATATTGATTTTTCGCATAGTTTGTCAAGATGGTCACTCGAAGAGAAATTAGTGCTGCCAAACTCTAAAATTGCCTGCAGGGCTGTATTTCCCGAAAGAAAATTTTTTCTTCAATGAATCAAATACGGAATTTTTGAAAATTTTTGAATATTTGACATTCGAGATAAGTCAAAGTGAAATTTGCTGGTATATGAACAGTTTTTATGGTATTTCCTTTTTTATCTAATACTTAAATAAACGAAGATGTTCACATTTTAATTTTGAAAAGCTTTTAACCTAAGTTGGTAATGTAAGTCTGCAAATTAAACACAATCTGGCAGCACTTTGTGCTAAAACGGAAAATAACATTAGTTCCGTTTTGGTGCCGGAAGCAATGTAATATTTTAAGCAAACTGATATTAGAACATTTTTCATAAACGAAAATATTTTCATTAAAGTTATATATTTGAACAAAGCCCAAATAAAGGCAATGATAACGTGAGGTATCGTAAATTTAATGTGAGTCTACAAAAATGAGGCACCGCAATTCTGAATATTTTTTCCTGTTTTGGTGGTGATGAAGTGCAAATTTTTATCAATCACAGATTACTTTTTACCATACATCAAAAACACACATTAAATTAAATTCAAACAGAAATAAGTGAATATATTATCAAATATAAAATCAAAAACTCCAAAAAAGATCTGATATAGCACGAGCGACTGTCATTCTAGTTCAGTTGCAAGGAAATAAAAAGTAAGTAAAAGTATTCTTTTGTTAAATTTATATATTTGTATTTATGTATATTTTTTATTACATATATTGTTATTCAATAGAGAACATCACAACGCAGTATCACAGTCAGTGGCAGACACTCCTCTCAGTGCCCATTAGTTTTTATTGCTCGCTTTCCCTCAACCTCTTTCTTTTTATTGGCTTTACCAAAGCCGTGGCCAATTACCAAGGACGCCATAAACTGACTACCGCAGTTTGTTCTTGTGCAACAGGTGAAGCAGAGGGACTCTCACAGTCGCTATGATAGCCGGAAGAAGCAGGACTCAATGGTGCGCACTCAATGCTTAGTGGTTGCATTCTTGAAACTGTTGTTTGATGATGTGATACTTGTTGCCGGTGTTGAAGTGATGCCTGATGAAGTAGTTGTTGCGGTTGCTGTTGCTGCTGCTGTAGTCTATTATAACTACGGCCCAAATGTGTCATCACAGCCTTGCCCAATTCGATGTTCATGCCGGATGTCGAAGCCATCACAAGTGACACTTCATTCACTGCATTCATATAGCCATTACGAAATGAATCTGCAGACGTTTGTGTGTTTTTTTGAGGCTTACGGCTGTTGTTCGCACATTGTTGACGCACAAAAACAAGTGTTTGTTCAAGTAATTCAGCTTTATCCATACGTAACACGGCATCGTCCGCTTGTAACTCCGCTACTAGTTTCTTCAATGCCTCCAAACACTTATTGATACGTGCACGTCTCTGACGTTCCAATAGTGGTTTCTTGACTTTCAAGTAAATCTGTGTTTTGCTCTGATGTGCCATATTGTAGTGAGCGTTTTGTGTTGTTAACGTTTCGCTGGTTGTTACGAAAGTGTTGTCATATCCTTGCTGAGTGCACGTTTTTATACTCTGAGCGTGCAACCCTTACCAACAAGGATATACTCGTACATAACTTTCCGTACTCACTCTCCTAAGGCGGCTTCACATTATACTCCTGTTGGCTTTGCGCTTTTAGTGCCGTTGCGCAGCTGATTTGAAAACAACCCTCATGACCATAGTGTAAAGTGAATTAACAACCTACTCAGCCAGACAGACACACGCACACTTGTGTCATGCGTATTTTCATATAAAGCAGCAAGTATTTAACTATGTGCGCACATCTTGCTCGGCAGTGAATGGCGACGAGGGCACTTGGCGGCAAAGGGACGTACAAAAAAAAAAAAAAAAAGAATTGTACAAAAAAACCTGCCTTATGGCTCGTGGCGTGGGAACCAACTCGAGAGTGAGTTTCTCACACAGTACTTTCCGTTCAGCATGTGTTCGTTGTTCTTGTTATTGTTGTTGTTGGCATTGCTGTTATTATGCCAGCCACATGCTCCTTTTTAAGGATCTGAAATTTTGCAGCTGCTGCTATTTTCGCTTCGGTATTTTGATCCGTTGCTTCGTAGCCATTGCACACGCTCTAAACACACACACACACACACAGACACAGGCGGTGGCTTCTCGTGCGTTATGTTTGTTTTTCGATTTATTGGATTGTCAATCACGTGCATACATACATACATACATATATATATTGGATGTTGCATTTTTTCTTGAAAATGTATGTATGTATGTATGGATGTGTTCGTGTTCGTGTAACTCCTACGCAATGTGCGCGCGAGTGTGGAATTTTTATGCGTTCATATGAATTTATTGTTGTTGTCATTCAGTTATCCTTCCTCCGCAGGATAATGGCATAATTGTTTTCTGCTGCTTTTGTTGATTTTGTGATATTTGCTAAGCACTTCGACAGCTGAATTCGAGTGTGGGAAAGTTTGAGAAAATTTCCGAACAAATGCTTTGGCGGTGCATTCATACGAATATTAATTGTTTAATTTTTTATTCGTTTTCTTTTCCATTTTTTGTTTTTTACTTTTTGCCTTTTGGGCGGGCAGTCGCTGGCCAAACTGGCGCGAGCCAATATGCGCAATACACGAGTCATTACTTAACACCGTACGTACGTACATACGTATGTAGGTAAGTATGTATTGTCAATGGACGATGTGTGTGTGTGCGCGTGTGTGTGTTGAATTCGCACACTTTTCAGTAATCAATTAGTATGCACGTCTTGCCAATGTGTAAATGTGAGAGATGCTGAATTATCGCAAGGATGTCATCTCGTTTTGTTAATATGAATAATAAACTTAACGAAATGATTTTGTTTTGTTTCAGCGTCATGTTAATGTGAAGTTAACAACACCGCCTTGGAGATACCGAGGTCAGTCAGGTCCATCGCTACCTGATCTATCCAAGTCAATGGAGATTTTTCTCTTACACTGCTTCCACCCTTGTGTACTGCATCGAGCACTTTCAAATCTGGAGCGTTCTTATTCATCCGCACAATGTGACTAAACCACTGCATCTTGTGCCGATGTGTTGCGGTATTCGCCATTACCGATACGCAAAGTAGGACAACGTGAATTTTAAGTTGACCGAACTATTGCCAGCGCTAAGCAAAAGAGCACTAAGTATTGTTGTAGGTGTACTACTGCGATATCATTTCACAAGCCAGTTATGGTAGAGTTGGTAGAATTCGGCTATTTGATATGCGGTGCGGTCAGGTCAGGTCCTCTACCTGCCCTTTCAATCAACCAATCAACCATGTATATTTGATCTCAGCACTAAGAGCAATTCAGAGGAAACTGGTGCTAGCCGCCTGCAACATAGAAAGATTGACTGAAAATTAGGCCTTCGGAGCAGACTAACTAATTTGCATATCAAAGCCGAGTCGAGTCGAGTCCTCGATCGACCAATATCCAAAATTATAGAAAATTATTATTTCTTTTTATTGCGGTCGCCCCTCGGCAGGCTCGGTAGCTCTTCGAGTTTATTTTTAACATGAAATAGAAAGCACTTCATAAGAATCCATAGACCGTTTGGAGGACGCTCGGCATAAACTGAACGTCCCTCCATTTGTTGAAAAAAATCAAGATGCAAAACCACAAATTGAAGAAGGAGCTCGGCCGAAAATCGCTTCAGCGCAATTATATATGTGGATATATATATTTATCAATACCTTACTGATAGATCTGCGGAGAGTGTGGTTGTAAAAAAATTACTCGATCGCGCACTGTGTGGGAAAAATACAAATAAAATAAAGAGATAAACCTCACATCTCTCCACCTCCACGAGTTGCATTTGCTGACTGAAGAAGAGAGAGCCTGAAATGGGTGAATGTACAGAGCTTATTAAGCTGGCTGACAGTCTCAATGCTCCATGAGAAAATGCGTCGACTTGCATACTCATATAAGACTCAGAGAGATGATGATGGTGGTGTCCCAAGTTCATGCACCTGAATTCCCAATCTATTATGACAGAATAGATATACTGCAATTGCCCGCTCGAAGAACATCAAAGTGGCGGGAAAATGTTAGTGAAAAGCTAGCTAGCGAGCTACCAAACTGAATAGAGAAGGTACAAAGCGTATGCCCATGAAAATGCTATCATTGAACTCAACAATTGCGTCCTTCTTCTCCAGACTGCATAAGGAAACGAGACGTGGAATGAGTTTGATAGTGAACGAGGACCAGACGAAATGTCTTCTGTTATCAAAAAAGTAATCAACTCACTCATGACTTGCCTGCCACATTGCGATTGACAGTCTTAACTTTGGTTTCGGAGATAATTTCCTCGCTTTTAGAACCGCCTGAAACACCAACAGCAATGTCAACCTTGAAATCTAAAGCAGAATCACTCTCGCCAGTAGGTGCCACTTTGGACTGAGTAGACAATTGAAATGTGAAGTCCTCCCTCGACGAGCAAAAAGACCAAACGCGGAGACAACATCAGCTGAGTAGGGGTTAGGAGTTCCAGAGAATAAGGTTTTGCGAAAGATTAACGGTCTTTTGCGTTTTGGCAATGGCAAATATCGCTGAATCAATGTGGGTTGAACTGTACGATATTTATGACAAGATTGATATAGTTCAGCGGAACAAGAGGGGAAGGGTAGCCACTGTCCACGCTAGGTCATCTCATCCGCATTAGCGACAACACTCCAACCTCCAAAGTTTTCAATGCAGTAACCGTCGGGTGAAAGCAAACGAAGACCTGCCAAGTCGTTGAATAGATCAAATGGAGAATGGTCTGGTTTCTTGGTATTTTTAACTTGAGCTAATAAGTGAAGGAAGGAATGGTGCGCTATTGTCGATTTGACTATAATCGCATAGGCAGTGACTATGCCAATGGAGAAGAGGATGGAGAAGAAGAGGAAGAAGAAGAGGAAAAAGAAGGAAAATAAGAATAAGAAGAAGGAGCAGAAAAGGATGAAGAGGAAGAAGAAGAAAAATAAGAAGAAGAAGAAGGAGGATAAGAAGAAGAAGAAGTAGAGGAAGAGGAAAAAGAAGGAAAATAAGAATAAGAATAAGAAGAAGGAGAAGAAGAGGAAGAAAAATAAGAAAAAAATAAGAAGGATAATAAGAAGAAGAAGAAGGATAAGAAGAAGAAGAAGGATAAGAAGAAGAAGAAGAATAAGGAGAAGAAGAGGAAAAAGAAGGAGAAGGAAGAAAAACAAGATGAAGAAGGAGGATAAGAAGAACAAGAAGGAGAGGAAGAGGAAAAAGAAGAATAAAAAGGAGAGGAAGAAGAAGAAGAAGAAAAATAAGAAGAAAAAGGAGAATAAGAAGAAGAAGGAGAATAATAATAATAATAATAATAATAATAATAATAATAATAATAATAATAATAATAATAATAATAAGAAGAAGAAGAAGAAGAAGAAAAATTTATCAATTGCGAAATTGAGAGAGTAAATAGTTTTACTCTCCCAAAGGGATAAATTTTCAACGCAAACGGTTCAGTAAAAAATTTGGCAACAGCAGTTCGTCGATCACACTAATTGATACATACATACATATGTAAATATACCCAAACTTAAGTGGAAAGTAAAAAAATCAAAAACTTCATTTTCATTTTTCAATTATTCATAGATTATTTGCTTAAATACTATTCCTACGGTACAATTGTTTGTATGTAACTAAAGCTTTTCCTATCACAGTTCACAAAACTACACAACTTTCTTATAAAACTAATTTTGTAATAACGGTATAAATGGGGGAAAATATTTAAAATTAAAAAACAATTTCTCTTAAATCTTATGAGACCGTTGATTGAATAGAATAGAGTTAATTAATGTGTGCTCGTTAACTCAGTCAGTGGCGCGTCTAAAGGCTTTTGTCGTTTGTCCTTTCTACTTCGTGGCAAAACGCATCGCTTTTGTTTTTGTTCACCAAGGACGCCATACACTTGCCGCAGACACTTTCAAAAGACCATTGCTGCTAGCTGCCGATTGACTTGAGGCAGTCGATTCACTGTCACTAGCGTAACCACTGGATACCGGACTGTACATGGAGGCACGTGATGATGATGTTGTCGCTGGCCCACAATGGACACTTAACGGTTGATTGACGGCGGTGCGCACTTGCTGCTCTTGGGATTCCAATTGATTGAGACGCAAACCCAATTGTGTCATTAGATGAGTGCCCAATTGTATATCCACATTGGGTAGAGTGGCGAGACAACGTGATATTTCATGAGCCGCTTTAATATAACCCGAGCGGAAGCTCTGACGAACATCGTCATCTATGTGCTTGGCTTTCTTTTGGTGTTGACGCATTTTACGTAGATGCTCAACGGTCAATTCGAGTATGTCGGCCTTCTCCAGTTTTACCTCCGCATCGCCACTTTGTTGTTGCACACATTCAGCCATCAAATCTTTGAGTTCGTCCAGGCATTGATTGATGCGCGCACGACGCTTGCGCTCCAGAAGCGGTTTCATCACTTTGCGATAACGGTAAGTTTTCGATAATTCATAAGCGCTGGTTGCCATCTTCGTTGTTTGTTTACTTTGTGTTGTTGTTGTTATGAGAACGAAATTTTATGTTTTTATTCTTCTTTGTATTTGTACTATTTGTGTAATTTTATTGATATAAATGGTTTCGGGTTTATACAACGGTGTATTCACGATAAGCTCTGCAACCAGAATGCTGAGTACGCCAGGAATGTGCCGGTCTTTTATAGCTGCACGTGGCTAAAGGTTACTCAGCCCCGAGCAGTGGTTGTCGGTGTGCTCGTGCGCAGCGCGCGCCTATTGCAAAATGATGGAAATGCTTACAAAGAGTCTAGTATGAGAGACTGATAGAGAGAGCGAGAGAGAGAGAGCTGGAGTGGAGAGAATGCGTACAACGGCAGTGAGCATACTGAACAACAACGAACACCTGCGTGAGCAAATCAAACAGGATTGCCCACTCGCTAACAGGCTGCTTGCTAGAGCACAGTGACGACTTGAACTGAGCGAGCTCAGTGAAAGCCCATGGATAAGGTGTCTGGCATGGTGGTGGTGGTTTTTGGTATTTTATATACATATATATGAACATATAAGATTGCTTTCACTGCGCGCTCAACACTATGGATGGTGTAATCGTCGCATGCTGCGCAGATCCAGTTCCTGCTCTCTCACCAGCTAAGGGCTGTTCCTGTACACTTTTGCTTGTTCATTTTGTTGTGTGAGGGTGCAGCTGATTTCTTTCCAACAAACTAGCTGGTGATTATACGTATATCAGTTTGTTGTTGTTGCTGTTAGTGGTTGTTTTCATATGGTCTGGCAAGGTAAAGTAAATTAACCTCCTGCTCATCAAAAGCTGTTTTTGCTGCTGCTGCTGCTGTTGTTGCTATTGTAGTCCTTTTTCGGAACCGTGGGAAACACTTTACTACTCAGTTTCCCACACAATTTTTTTTCTTACACCCCGTAATTTTGTTGTTGTGCTCTCCACAACAGCTCGTTACTGTCGTTGGTGTTATTATCACCGCTGCAGGCGCAATAAAACTCATCCCTTTGGCTTGGGGTGACTGTGAATTTGTCACAGTGGGACAATGTATAAATTGCGTATAATGAGTGAGAAGTCTTAGAGACTTCAGAAATTAAAAATCAGTCTGGATTAATTACACTGGTACTTGTTTGCCTATCCACGTACTGCTCTTAAGCAAGTTGATTGCCTATGCCCTCAGGCAATGAGCCTTGGAAAAGCACGCCAATATCCCGTGAGTTTCGAAGTGTTTCTAGTACAATTTTATCCTTGAAGGTTCACAAGTTTCCTCAATGCTCTCGAGTTCTAAGCAGAGCCCGCGGTCTGGATCCTAAGTGTTCTTAGCCCACTTGGTTTCCGACAGTGCCGATTATCTGACCTATATTCTCTACCGCAGCCTCCTGTGGTACGTATGCAAAGATGGTGTTTCCAACTGGCCAGCTGATTTATATTTGTTTCTCTACGTTCTGCTCTGGAATAATCAAATCGCATGAGAGCTCAATGCCTCGTGAGTCTTCTCAGGCCTATGGTGTATCATGGTAGAGTTTGGAGCTTCCAGTCATCGTTCGTAGCACCTGAGGTGTGGGAGGGGCTTATGTAATCATTACCTAAATGTATTTCTCGTAACAAAAGTAAAAACCTTTGTCCGACTCCAAAGTTCTGGAGGCAGCTGCCTCTTCTTCTATGGCATAGGGCGATTATAGCCGAATTAACAAGCTCTTCGACACCAATTAAAGACATCAAGTAGAGCCAGCACTGTTTTCACATTTTCATCAACCTCTTCCTCTACCAGCATCGGATACCTTCAGAGTGTTTTCTTCCGTCCGGATAAACGGGGCCTAATCATTTGCTCTGAATTCGCTGAACACTATCAAGGTCGGCGGTCCCATTAGCCGAGTATTTAACATAGCGTACTGCTATTCTGAAGACCAGGGTTCGAATTCTGGTTCGACCAACATCCAAAATTATAGAAAATTATTTTTCCTAAATGCGGTTGCTCCTCGGCAGACCGAGCTCTCCGAGTTTACTTCTGACTCTGCATAAAAATCCATCGGCGGCTCAGAATAAATTGCAGGTTTTTCCTTTTGCTGGAAAACATCGAGACTCCTCCAGCCAATAATGGCTTCAACGGTTATAAAGTGCCGATTATATATACTCTTATATCTATGGCGACCGCGGTAGCCGAGTGGAAAGCCTATCGTCCGGCCATTCGGAAGACCCGAGTTCATATCCGCGTGCGGCCAATATCCAAAAGTTATAGAAAGTTAATTTAAATAAAGAAATTAGTTAAATTATCTAATTGCGATCGCCCCTCGGCAGGGCATGTCAACCCCTCCGAGTGTATTTCTGATATGAAATAAAGATTCATCATGAAAAAACCATCAGCCGTTCGGAGGCCGCTTAGTATGAACTGTAAGTGCCTCCATTTGTTGGAAAAAACATCAAGACGCAAAACCATAACTTGGAGGACGAGCACAGCCGAAAACCGCTTCAGCGGTTACAAAGCACCAATTACAATATATATATTATATACATATGTATGTATATATGTATGTCAATGTCATCGTATATCTCTTTCACCGTCAATGGTATCCACTGCCGTCCATACGCAACCGTCTCAAAGACAATTAAATTATTTCCTGAGTTGACTTAAGGCTTTGAAGGCCGATGCTGGACTTGATAAGCTAAAGAAGAATTCGGTTTCTTGTGCACTTTCCAAGACTCTCATTGGAACAGTCGTTACTGCTTTTTTTACTGTTCATTTTACATTTTTTTAAACTTAATTTCCCTCATGTGGTCCCACTGTGCTCAATATAATGTTGTGTGCCAATCTAGGATATTTATATACATACATACAAACATAAATATATACATAAACGATGCGTAACTCTGACTCGTCCAACAATCAATGATACTCAGTAGCCGTTTTATGCCAGTGAGCTGAATTCCCGAAAACTTACCACCTGCCTTTCGTCAAATTTCGACGAGTGACGAGCACTATAACGCACACACGCACACACGCACACACACATTCGTGAGCACACTTGAAGCATGCAATTGTAATTGTGGCTGCTACTACACTTCAGCACTTTTATTTAGCGGACGGACCAACGGACGGATAGACAGACTAAAACCTAAAATCAGGCTTTGCCAGGCTAACGGATGTGCACATTGGCAGCGACTTACTGACTATTTGCTACACTAACTGAATGGACTGTGAGTGTGTGTGTGTGTGTGTGTGTGTGTGTGTGTGTGTGTGTATGTGCTTGCGTTGTTGTTTACAAGCTTATAGGACGAACGGCTGACTGACGACGACGACGGATAGTTTGACTCGCAAACTGACACTCTTTTACTGTCTCATCGTGGTTGCGGCTGAAACTGTGGCCGCAGCTGTGTTGTTGTTGGTCGCTCAACCAACCATCGAGTGTGAGAAAATTTTCTTGGTTGCAGCTGTCGTTGTTTGGTATTTGATTCGTTTTTTGTTTTCTGTTTTTTTTTTTCTTTTTGTTTTTTGCTTCTTATCTCCAGCTTTGTTTACTTTGTTTTTGTTCTACTCTTTAATTTGATTTGCTTTTATTATTATTTTCTTCACGATGTGTCTGCAAATTAGTCCGCACACGCACACAAGTTAACACGGCGATACATATGTACATACAAACATATACATACACATGTATCTGTAGTTGGCTCATCATGATCACTGTTGGCGCTGTGTGCGCGGAGTGTGGACAGCGTGTATCAGTTCATAATTGCCGCGGCGCGTCGACTTTGCTGGGTGTCTGTTTGGAATGAGTCGTTCACACGAGTGCGATCGCTTGCTCGGCGGCTGAGTAGGAGGTATGACAGCAGTAAAAGTTGTAATAGCAACAACAGCAATATGCATTTAAGTATGGTTTGTGTATGCATATATATGTGTGTGTGTGTGTAGAGGATGTGGCAATGAAAGGATTAGGGTCAACTCTGGCGTTAATACAAGCATATGTATGTACATACATATATGCATACGTCGCTGCGTTGCTGTAATGGTGTAATAAAACCTTGACTTTTGTAAAATATTATATTTTACCCAGTGCGGGAGCTCCTGGATTTGTGTGTGTTTGATAAAAGTGAATCATGAATGGGGTCTTCTCATTGCTGGCTTTGGCGCTCATGTTATGTGGTAGATGCTGATCGTATGTGTATATGTACATATATATTTATACAAGTATAAGCATACATTCCTTTGGCGCTGTTGCACTTTATCAACCAAATCGAAGGATAATCCACATTTGTAGATATCTCCACAGTTAATTGGAGTAAAATTTGGAATTTAATGAGGGTTGTGGTGGCACTTAGTATGGAAGAATCTCTCAAAAATAATATTGCGCTGCATGTGGTTAATACATACATATATATATAATTGTAAAGAGAGTTGTTGAGGGTGAACAACACATACAGAGGTGTGTGTTTGTGTGAGTGTGTATGAAAGGGTTTATTCTTATTAGCGTATTTTTCACAGGATTGGTTGTATTTATTGTTTTGTTGTAAATCTTAACGTTTGCGTGGGAAAAAATAGTTTTTAAATTTTTTTTTTTGGGAAAATTGGAAATTCATTTTCTCACATTGCTTGCTTAAGAGCTTAATGGCTTCACTACTTTTAATCGTTCATTGACCTTTAATAAATTTAAAGTGTTTTTTTGTTTCATAATTAAAAGTGTTTATTTTAGTTTTTTGGGTTTCAAGAAGAAATAAAAGGCATATAATTCAATGTTATGGCCAAGAAGTTAGTTTTATTATAAGGATAAGAGTTTATTGTGGCGGACTCGAATGAATTCTAGCCAAGAGGCCAAATTTTCGACCACTTTTTGCAGCAATTGGAACCGTACATCAACAATAATGCACCAAATCTTCTTTTGCAAGGCATCAATCGTCTCGGACTTATCTGCGCAAACAAGCGACTACACATAATCCCACAAAAATTGTTCAGCGGTGTTGAATGGCACGATCTTGGCGGCCATGCGACAGGTCGCGACGCGGGATTAAGTGCACAAAAAAAATTTCCTACAATAAATTGATATTTTTATGGTATGCAGCGCCGTCTGGTTAGAACCAAAGGTCGTCCACATAACCAACCTCCATTCAGGTATGAAAAAGCCATTCACCATGACGATTGTTTGGATTAAATTCT